GGTTGGTCGGTCGGTAGGTAGGTAGGTAGGTAGGTAGCTAGGTAGGTAGGTAGGTAGGTAGGCGGTAGGTACGCAGGTAGCGTAGGTTAGGTGTGGTGGTGAGCAGGTGTAGGCATAGGTGTAGGCATAGGCGTAGGCGTCGGTGTGGGTGTAGGTGTGGGTGTGGGTGTGGGTGTGGGTGTGGGTGTGGGTGTGGGTGTGGGTGTCGGTCTAGGTCTAGGTCTAGGTCTAGGTCTCGGTCGGTAGGTAGCAAGGCAGGGAGGAAGGCAGGTAGGTAGGTAGGCAGGGTAGGCAGGTAGGTAGGCAGGGTAGGCAGGTAGGTAGGCAGGCAGGCAGGCAGGTAGGTAGGTAGACGGTCGGAGCGAGAGAAGAGGCTGCCAAGCAGGCTGAGTAGTTGAATATCTGAACATAGTCATTGGACGGGTAAGCGGGTAAACGACGCAAGGGAGACACAACGACTCTGGAAGAGCTGCCACAGCTGTGGAAGGTCTACACCGTCCAAGTCAGGTTCAGACGGTCCGTTGTTGCAGCTGCACCCCATTTCTGCTTTGATTCTGTTAGCTGGCAATGACTCATGCAAGAACGTGCGCATCATGCGCGATGCCTTCGGGCTATGCGTGCTTCCGTCTTTACGTCCGACGATACGATTCCGCGAATTGCGTGGCTAGCTCAAACTCTCGGATTGGTTTGTCTCATCATCCATGCTTCCCCGAGCGGCTGCATGTCGTAAGTGGCTGAATTTTCTGAAAAGCCGCTAGCACATTACACCACCACCTGTGTTGTAAAGACAAGCCGAACATCTTCAAACATCTCCAGTCTCCAAGATTCTCCAAGCACAGGAGAAAAATGAAACCTTACAGTAGCAGTTGGGATGAGGCCTGGCCTGTGTTCTCTCTGCACGTCGATCTTCGTCTGCTTGCCCTCGTCGACCTCGCCTTCTTCCGGCAGCATGCTCCATGGCGCAGGCCGGCGACGCAGGCCGACAGGCCGCCGCCTCACCTCTCGCCTTTCCTTCAAGAGGAGCCCTTTTTGCAATTGGCCTCTGCGGACCTGTATCTCTGAAGCGAGGGGCATTCGCTGGAAAGTGAATGTAGGGGCTCCAAACGAAATTGGGTACGGTCCTGGCTTGAAAGCTTCCTGCCATGACAAAGGCCAAATCAAGCTATTATGCCATGTTTTGAACCAAGCGCGGGTGCGGTTGCATGTGGCTGACACGAACACGAGGAGCGGGACTGAACACCAGCGAGTACTGAAGCAAGTCTGCCTTCTTACATCTCTGCTCACGCCGCTAAACGAAGCATGTGTGGTCGCCAGATCGCATCTCCCTCAGCCCACCTTAGCCTTGTCACTGCCGTCGCTTGCTTTGAGCCTGTCATGTCTCGCACCCATCAAAATCTGGCAATGACCTTGTCCCCTCCAATCACTGCCAGGGGAACAGGGGCTTCAGCGACGAAAGCCATGGCTCCAATGATGCTTCTGGAGTTTTCAGCGTCAGGCTTTGACCTGACTTCAGAACTTCAAGCGTGCACCCCGAGTCAGCGATCACTGAACAGGCTCGGAAGCATCACCTCCGACCAAGATCAGAGAAAAGCCATCCTCCTGAACCTGCAGCTGCACATTCCAAGAGAATATTCCTCCCGTTGCAGCATGTACAGACATCGTCAGCCGCGATGAATTCCGATGTTCTCTGCGAAAGCTAAATCGCGGCGAAACGCGCAGAACTTCGCAGGTCTTCGGGGCCGGCCTCCAGCTTTTCCACCTCGTTCAAGGTCAAGCGACCTCGTGGCTCCGACTTCTCATCGGCCTCTGCGGTGAAGTAGTCTAACCTGTCCTTCCAGAGTGGTCGCTGCATTGAGCCCGACGAGTGCAAGAAGTCCTTGAACAATACGAAAAAGCGGGACTCGATCCCCTTCTTCTTCTGCACGCCCAAGGTCCTGGAGAGCAGGCTGCAGCAAAGAAAGGTGCAGTGGCGCAAGTTTCACTGTCGTGGCTAAGGCGGGAGCTCTTTGCGGATCACCTCCTGTGCAGTCTTTTGTCGGCCTATGCCAGTTGAATCGCAGGGGCGGTCCTGCTGAGCCATGCTCGAAGTGCAGTCACGGGCATCACTTTGCCCCACCTGGCACTTTCACGATTCTGACCCTCGTTTTGGAGAGGCGAGAGAGCAAGGCTAGAAGAGACTCTGCGATGTACGCAGCAAGACACGGATGATTGTGCTGCGAACCACTGATCTTTCATTTGAATAGTGCCAGGGAATGGTCCCACACTCAAGTCCGTGCCGTCTCGCGAAACAGAACTAGTTGCTCACTATGAAGGGTATCGTTCATGTTGGCAACGTTGGGCACGATTCGGGACATCTCTGCAATCTGAGACAGTCTGGTTGGAGCTCCTGGGGAGCCGGGAAAGCAGAGCAGCATCTCTTTGCTTGCAGTGCAACGACCAGGTGCTCAACTGAGCCGGTAACCTTCGGGGAAATGCCGCGTCAAATTAACTATGTCGAGCCAGCAATTGCAGCATAGCGACACATGGGAGAGTCTAAAGCAGAAGGTCATTGAATTCAACAACCACAATCTGTCGCGCTTTGGTACTTTGATTTCACCTCTGCGCACGTTTGCACCGTTCACGCGTCCACATCACGGGTTTTATTGAACTGTGATTATACAGTTGCCTCAATCAACCCTGCTGCTCCTCTGGAGTACGCTGTCGTCATGCCTTCCAACACGCACTGAGGCCTTTAGTAAAGAGACTGTTTCACTTCTGACAACGCGTTTTCTGCTGGCGCGGAGGCACCTGCAGCCCTCCACAGTGAGGGACAGCTCGGTTCAACAATCACCGTCTTCAATGCTTGCAGTCTTCTCACTCTGTTCGTTCGGGTAAGCCGATGATCGACTTTGTGGAGAATCGCCCCCCGTCTGGAGATGAGAAAATCAAAAGTTCAGAGAGGCCAGAAAGCGGGCCTGGCACTTTTGCCAGTTCTCTTAAGCCAAAAATGATCTAACTGTACTGAGGCTCAGCTTCGTCAGGACGGGACGATGCGTGAATCGAACACACCAGAAACACGAGCAACGAAGCAGCAAAAGCAAGGCTACTGCATCCGATTACACACGCTGCCCGCCCGAACTGCATCTGGAGGCTGACTACATTGAATTTGTCGATATAGTCTACGTGGTCTGGCACGCCCCTTGCAGCACCGGTCACTCTTCAAAGGACTGCAACAGCTCCGACCTGCAAAGTCCAAGGAACTGCAGAGGTGCAATTGCAGCTGCACGATCTCTCTTAGAAGGGGTGGCCCACCTCCGCTTCCACATCCTCAGCTTCAGCTGGATCGCTCCAGCGGCCATGCCTGAGCCGAAAGACATAAGTGGAGGTTACCGAAAGCACTAAAATCCACCGCAGCCGCACGCAGACTAGAGTACCTCACTTTCCGAATGGCCCAGCATCCTACAGCATGGGAAGAACACTAGACCCTTAGTCACGTGCTCCTTGATCAGATCGACCAGTGCCTCACCGCGCATGTACACTGAAGGAGTGAAGCAAAGGCTGAACTTAAACTGGTGTCACTCAAGGCGCCACCTGCCTCAACAGCTTCAGCGGAGGGAATTCCCCGCTTCACAACGTCGTAGTTGACATAGAGGTCGACCCTTATGTGGCGGTTACTTAACTTCCCCCTGAAAGGAAACGTGCACAAGTGTGTTATTTACGTTCGTACTTGGACCCACTTTAGCGGAGCTTTCGCGAAGCTTTGTGTGTGTGTGTGTGCATGCGTGTGTGTGTGTGTGTGTGTTTGTGTTGTTGTGTGTTTGTGTGTTTGTGTGTTTGTGTGTTTGTGTGTTTGTGTGTTTGTGTGTTTGTGTGTTTGTGTGTTTGTGTGTTTGTGTGTTTGTGTGTTTGTGTGTGTGTGTGTTTGTGCTTGTGTCTCTGTCTG